AACAATGAAAAATTCGCTGTTTGTCGTGTATGATCTGCATGATGATATGATGAATGGATGGTTCATTTTCAACAGCAGATTCAGGGCCTCACTGCACACGTCTGCGGCGCGTTACGGCTCCACGGCCACCGGAGCTGATCGCTGCCACTCTAATGCTTGTGTTTATCAGCCAGCTGCGGCACGTTTCTGACGCGGGTTACGTTTGTTTCTGAAGGGACCGCACCCCCGATCTACATAAATGCATCTATGTTCGCGCGAATCATTCATGATCCAGCTTCACCTACAGAAGAAGTGAGTGTAAGGTTTTTTAACAAATCTTTGCAAATCGCCTTTCATAATAACGTGCTAATTAGCAAGTTTCACGATGAATCCTAAAGTAAACAGTCCCTCAGAGAGTGGCTCGGAAGAGAGGGGCGGAGTCAGCAGAGCTCATTAACATTTAAAGGAAAATGCTACAAAAACGGTTTGATCTGAAAAGAGCTGTTTTGACAGGGTAAAAAGGTGTTTTTACACTACCATTGAGAATTTTAACCAAACTATGTTACAGACTTTTCATTAAGACCCTAAAGAATCATATCAGCTTGTGGGAAATGGGCATCCGATGACCCCTTTAATGGAGGAGCGATAGCGCACCGCTCGAAAGGGGGTGGAATGGGGCGCAATAATCGTTTATCTCGATTGATGTATTGTCATAATCATTGGAGGTTGAAATTTAAGCTGTAATTTTGATTAATTGCACATGTCTAACGTCCGTGTGGTTTGTTCTGACAGAAACCCAAACAGCAGCGTCCAGAGAGCCCACAGGAAGGTCCACAACGACCCGACGCTGCGCATCCAGAACCTGTCCATCCTCGTGCAGCAGATCAAGTCCTGCTATCAGGTGAGCAGCGCACTCTATCTGCGCTTTTATCAGTCTTCTGGCAGCTTTGTGAGTCTGTGCAGTCAGTCTGGCATTAGATATGCAGATGCTTTTTCTGATCCATTGCTGTGGTTATCAGTGTCGATCATTGCATGTTTGGATTCAGTCCTGCATTGAAATGCAGTTGTCGATCCTGAAAGGTGTTTTTGTGCTTGACTCTCTACAGTTCTCACTTCTCACATGCGTTCAGCAGACACTGTGTCCGGGATGCTCATGAGCTTCTCTCTGTTTCAGTCTTTGTTAAAAGGCCCTGGGCGGTGCGAGGCTGTAGTTTGTTTGTTGTTTGGGGTCTGTGTAGTGTACATACAGCGCTGGATCAGGCTTCAGTGTGGAGAGGAGAGCTGATGGCTGTGTTTGTGTCTGAGCTTCTGCTCTTCTCCAGCGGATCCTGTGCTGTGAATCACACCTTCATGTGAGCATCAGACTGAAATATGAGTGTGTGTTCACTGATCATGTGTGTGCTGCGTTCCTCTCATAGCAGCTGCTTAGATAATGACTGACCTCAGCATGTAGCGCACATCTGTGTGTGTGTGTGTGTGTGTGAGTGTGTGAGTGAGTG